TTTTTTCAAGTTGCATTGAAACCTTTTCAATTCTTAACTCATTTATGGGTAGTTGAAACTTTTCAAATGGTTTTCATTCTTTGATTTGTAATTTTAGTGGATTTATTCATGTATTGGGATTAATCTTGCATTCGATTGAGTATTGTGGATGAACATGAGAGATCTAACCTTGTTGGAAGTTATTTGAGCCAAATTCCTTTCTAGTGTGATTTTTCCACTTGATTTTACATTCTCTAGAACTTATTATGGTTCTTTGTCAAAGCTTCATATGCATTGGTGTTTTGGATAGGATAAAGGCATTCATTTCTAAACCCTTTACCCAAACACAAGCTACTTTATTTAACCCTTGTTCACCCTTTCGAGCCTTCTTTAAATTTAAGTACCAAAACATGTATCATTTATTCAAATCTAACTATACTTTACTACTACGTTTATGATATTATACTTTATCTTCTTAGGGTTGGAATTGCTAGAATTAAAAAAAAAAAGATCCATAGAATAAAAGTTTTGAATAAGGCAAATTCGTTGGTGGTTTTGAAGATTAAAGTGTTGTGCTTCATGAATTTCAATGTAAAGTTAGTTGGGAATCAATTCTGGTTATTAGTACTTGTTTCATTCCTTCCATTTAGCCTTCATTCATCACTACATCCCTTATAGTCCTTCTGATTCAGTGGTTGCATTCCAAGTAGAGATGGTAGAACCATTACAAGGTCATGGTAGTTTGTTTTATCAAGTGGATTTGAGAGAAAAATGACCTAATTAAGATGAGTTGAGCGATACACTTTTATCCTTTGAGTGATCTTCGATGCTCATCCCTTTTGGTTGATTGGTTGTTTTGATTAATCACTTTGCATGGTTTTTCTCACTATTTTTCCTTGTAAGAGAGTACTACTATTTGATTTGTCGCTTTCATCCCATGGGTTAGTTGAGTTACCTTTGGTCTTTGATGTATTCTTGATAGGTTGTGAGGAGCACTTGTTATCGTCTATGCCTGACTCTAGTCTTTTCACAACTCTTACTATTTGTCTTTTTAATTTGCTCAGAAGTGCAAATGTCTAAGTGTGGGGAAGTTGATTTGACCAAGTTTTACTATATTAATTCATGTCCAATTGCATGTCTTTAGAAGAATTAATTGGTTTAAAATGCATGTCTTGATATGAATTGTAGTAATTTATAACTGTGAGTTTGATTTCTTATTAAGCATTTTGTAAGGGCAAAACCGTCAAATTGTGCATCATTTTAATTAATCGTCTTTTATGCAATTGAATTGGATATTAGAAGTGCTTAATTTGATTTCCAAGTCAAGGGTCAAAGTTAAAAATATCTCCAAAAGACTTGAGTTTAAGAAAATTACTGTTAAGGCCCAATCCCAAAAAAGGCCAACTAAATGCAGCTGTTCGTTTTGATTATTTGGTCATGATAAAAGGGAAGTTTAGTCTCAACGAAAAGGATGCTGACACAGATCAGGTTTTAAACCTCAGATTGTGATTTTGGAAACAAAATGCACGAGCCAACCACCATTCACCATCCAGACACTCCTATTTTCATCTCCTAGGATTCTTCAAGGGTTCTTGAGGTTCCCCTACTGATTCCTACCCATTTCCACCTTATTCCAATAGTTTTCTGCATCATCCATCATTTGCCTTCATCTGCTATGGCTGGTGCTATGATTTCAGAGCCTGGAGGATCTGTTTCTGAAGTCATAAGAGGCTAGAACGCTTTGCCCTGAGGAGTTTTGATAAAGGCCTGAGCTTGGGACTTAATTTAGGGAGTTTTACTTCATCTTTTCCATTACTTTAATAGTATTTCAGTTGTTCTTGGTTAGAATTTCTGTGTTGTTATTAAAGCTGAACTTCAATGTTATGATCTTTTCATTTTGGATTGGATTCTAAGAATTCTATATTGTAATAAGAATTCTATATTTAGTCTTATGAATTTGATTGGTGTTCAATTGAAATTTAGTTTTGATTAAGTGTGGTGCCTTGCTAGCATAATTGTTTATTGTGTTCAAGTTGTTATTACCATTACATCAATCTCACCAAGTGTGCATTCGTGAGGGTGGTTAGTTTTGTTGTGAATCTCTGGGTCAAAAGTTTCATTAGCACACTAATTTCCTTAAGTTTGAAATGTTTTCTAAACTAGCTAAGTTTTGGTTTTCAAGTAAACTCCCACCATAATTTGAAGTGATGAAGGCTTAATCAATTCCCTAAGGGGCATTTTTATCAATTAAGTTTACAAACTATCCATTTGAGTTCTTTCTTTCATTACTCTTTTAATTCATCTCAAAAAAACCAAAAAGACTTCATCTTATTTATATTTAGATTTCATTGCAACTTAATGTGGTATTATAAACCCCCCATTTTCATCTTTATGCGTGGTTTTGTCACTTAAATTACATAAGAATATTTTAGGCTCCTCAAAGTGAACATGACTTGGATTGTGCCACTTTAGTGCATTCCTATCCGGAACTAAATTGTTTTGAGAGCCTATAATGACAAAGGCTTTCTCATTGGTTATCTCATCTAAACTGTAATTGCCTTGATCTTTAATTAGTTTAATCTTTACAAAGCTCTTTGTTGCGGTTTTCAGGCATTTAGAGGAGACCCAAAATGGAGCATTAAAGAGCCACAAGTTCATAAGAGCTAAAACACAAGACTGGAGTACTTCTGTGTTTATAGGTCACAATATGGCCTTTTGATGTCACAAACTAGGTGCTCTTTAAGTGAAACTATGTGTTTTGGAGCTAGGTCAAGACTAAATATGCCTTTGTGTTCTGAGGTCACGATATAGACTTCTGAGGTCATGACATGGACCTATGAGGTTGCTATATAGGATTCTAAGGTTGTGACCTGAACGTATTTAGTGAAGCTATGCATTTTAAAATAGGTTATTTAGCCTCCAGACTTAAGGGGAGCAGCCACCACAAACCAGGAAGTCTCCATTCTACATATTTACAAGGATAGAAGCCTCTATCGTTCTCTCTCAAGACTATATTGATCCTATACCTCAAACTTCTATTTTTTGCTCACTTCTCCACCTTCTGCAACTCTGAACCGATTAAATCACTGCCACCATCTTCTTCTCCATTTTTCCAACCTCTTTTTTAGCATTACTAATGGCTAAACTTACCTGGACCAATTATGACACATTTAAAGACATGAGAGGCTAAATCATTAGCTCTTGGTGATGGAGGACGAAGCTTGAGCTCAAGGACATAATAGGGAAGTTTCTTAGTCTAAATTTGTGCTTAAATTTGTGCTGAACGTTTCTAGATTTAGGAATCTCTGCACCTATGCAAGACTTGATTACTGATTTGTAAATCTTGTGTTTAGACTATTGTATTTGGATTAGATGCTATTTAATGTTGAATTATCTATATAAATATATCAATTGTGAATCCTTGTGTTCAGTTAGTTGTCAGTGATCTCTGATAAATAATTTGTTTACTTTGTATTCTATAGTTGTTGATTAGCAATCTGAGGGCATTTGCATCATCCTTTCATTTACACTCTAAGTAGTTTCAACAATGTTTTAAGAGGTGTTAATTAACTCTGATCAAATTGAGGTTTCTTAAATTGAGGTTTGATTAATTAAAATATTTGACCCAAATGATTGCTTGGGGTTTCTTTCAAACTTAGAGATTCTGAAACTCCCATATCAATTTAAGAGCAGTGATAGCTAAGCCTTCATCATTAAGAGTCTATTTCATTATTTTCCCATTTAATTCCTTCATTTATTTAAAAGACCAAAAAGATTTACTGCTTTGCATTTTATTTACTTTGCACCACTATTTTATAATTCAAACCCCCTTTTTCTTACCCAAATTAACATGTTTTCGATAACCAATCTAGACTAGGATTTCTAATAAAGCACTCCTCAAGAAGAATGATTGGTTATACTGTATACTACATTATCTGGTGCAAACACATTCTTGATGACCTGGAAGGTGACATTCCGGTCCGATCAAGGTACTTAAGGCTTTTATAATCAAAATACAACTCTATGGTTGCCCTGTATAGATAATACCTCTAGATTTTCAAAGCTTATACGATTGCTGCTAGCTCAAGGTCATGTGTGGGATAATTTTCCTCATGAGTCTTTAACTGTTGTGAAACATAAGCAACCACTCTACCCTGTTGTATCAACACACATCCCAACCCTTGCTTACTTATATCTGTATATACCACATATGGCAATGCAGGATCGGGGATTACATGGGAGTCAAGGTCAACTTTTGCTTCAACTTTTGGAAGCTAGCCTCACACTTAGTATCCTAATTGAATGGTTGGTTCTTTCAAGTGAGCTTAGTCAACAGTAGGGCAATCCTAGAAAAATCACGTATAAATCTCTAGTAGTAACTTGCCAGTCCTAGAAAGCTTCTCACCTCAATTACTGTCTTGGGCCGTTCCTAATTTAATAGGGCTCTACCTTTCTTGGGTCAACTACCACTCCTTCTTAGGTAATTTCATGACCTAAGAATTTAATCTCATTCAACCAAAATTCACATTTGCTCAACTTAGTATGTAGTTGTTTTTCCCGCAATGTGCTCAATACAATTCGCAAATGTTGTTCATGTTGTTCTGGTGATTTAGAATACACTAAAATATCATCAATAAACACCACTATAAATTGATCTCAGTATAGCCAGAAGATTCTATTCATATAATCCATAATGCCCATACCTCATTTGGAAGGCAATCTTTGGAATATCTTTTACCTTGATTCTCAATTGATGATAACCTAACCTTAAGTTACTCTTTAAAAATATAGTGGCTCCTACCAACTGATCTAACAAATCATCAATGCAAGGTAATGGGTACTTATTCTTGATTGTGACTTTATTCAGTTCCCCGTAGTCTATACATATTCTTAGGCTACTGTCCTTCTTCTTTACGAACAATACTGGTATACCCCATGGAGATACACTGGGGCATATGAAACCCTTCTCTAATAGTTCCTCTAATTGCTTTTTTCAGTCTTGCCATTTCATTTGGAGCCATTCAATAAGGAGCTTTCAAAATCAGATTTGTTCCCGGTACCAAATCGATGGCAAATTCTATCTCCCATTCAGGTGGCAGTCCACTGATCCCTGTTGGAAAGACCTCAGGGTAATCACGTACTATTGGTATGTCTAAAATGCCTTCTTTTGTTTCTCTCTTCACTGAGAAGAAGATTATGTAGCCCTGGCAATCCTGCCTCAACCACTTATCTACCTGAGCTGCAGTGATCAAATTTAATTTTACCTCTGCTTGAGGGGTTAACTCTTGGGTAAGAAGGATCAACATTTTGTTTTTGCAATCGAGGAGAATATTTTGTGAAGATAACCAATTCAACCCAAGGATAATATCAATATCACAGAAAGGCATGCATACGAGGTCTAACATAGTACAACAATAGGTATACTGGACAATGCAGTTCAAACAGACAATAGAAGTTAAAATCCTAGCTCCAATAAGAGTGGAAACACACAAGTCATATAGCAATGTGTCGACAGCAAGACCTAAGCACCTAGCGTAATCATACGATATAAACAAGTGACTGGCACCCAAGTCAAACAATGCATCCACAAGGTAACTATCCATAGTAATCGCACCTTGGATCACCTCGGGGGACTTACGAGCCTCTTCTTGGTTGAGGGTGAACACCTTGCTGTCGGCACTTTGCGTGCACTCCCTGGCAAAATGTCTGGGCCTTCTGCATCTGTAGCGTATGTTCTAACCCATAGTACAAGTCCTATCTCTGTGATTCCTACCATAGTGCTCGCACTCTCGTCCTCAGTGAACATTTTCCATTCCTCCTCATCAAGCTCCCGGTCTCGACTTCTTGCTCCAATTAAACCTCCACCTTTTCCAGCTACCACTGAGGGAGGTGCCTTCTTGACCTGTATTTACCCCTGGCTTCTAGGCCCTTGGGGTTGCTTTAGCCAGCTCTGTGGGATTTTGGCTATTCTCGATGATACGACAATCTTCAACTGCCTTATTGAAAACCTTGAGTTGTTGTAGGGCCACCTTCTACCTTAATTCGGGCTTCAACCTTCTGATCATATTTTTAGTGAACCAGCGCTCATTATTCATATACTAAAGATAAGTAGAATACCTGGATATCTTGATGTACCTAGCCAAGTACTCATCAAAGGGTTCATTTGCTGCTTGCCTAATAGTGAGGAATTTTACCTCCTTCTCGTCCCTAACGGAGCAAGGAAAATACTTTAGGAAAAATTATTTTTTGAAAACTTCTGAGGTAATGGGTGTTGCATTTGTTTGGAGGACCAGTTTTGTGTTCCTCCACCATCTGTCTGCTTCCCCTTTCAGCTTATATATTGCCATCTAAGCCTTCATCTCAGATGGGCACTCCAAGATATTAAAAATCTTTCTTAGCTGAGTTATCTAGTCCTCAGCCACCTATACATCAAGAGTCCCCTCAAAAGCTAGAGGGTGGTGTTTACCAAATCTAACAATCCACTGCTGCAGTGTATCAAGTTTCACAGAAGGTTGAGGTCTTACGGGTGCTGTGTCCTATTGTTGTTGAGCAAGTTAGGCTATCCCAGCTATACCTTGCCCGGGTTGCTGTAACTATGCCAGTACTACCGCTATTATTATAACTATAGCAGTATCCCTTTCCTATTCTTGCCTAGCATGGTTTGCTTGAATTTTAGCCATACTTCTCTGTTGTTCCTCTAATCTCTCCATAATCCTTTCTATTGGATTGACAGGGGATCTTCACAATTCTCCCACATCCTAGATCCTCATCTTGTCCTTACCATTTTGTTGTTTCTTCTTTGCTACAAGAGGAACAGAATTATCACTTTACACAAAAGATATTCTATATTGCTTTTATATTCACATCTACACATATATGGCACAATCAGCAAAACACTATTCAAGTATCAGTACAACCCATCACAACCATATAACATATTATACATTCATCCATGTTCACAACACAAAGGTAGAAAAAGGAAATGTAATGATAACAAAGATTTCCTGATCGTCAAGCAACTGATGAAAAGTATGAGATATGGAGTAACCACAAATCTTCTGGATCTCATCCAGCTAAACCCTAGTCCTTGGTAAAGTATCCATCAGTGTTCAGCTCCAAAGGATATCATCAGTATTTGGATTCTCTTCAATCACTTCATTGTATAGTAATCTCACATAAAGGAGATAATCCAGATAGACAGTACCCTACTGGTTCTGGGTCCAGAGTATATGCCTTCCCAGTTTCCTTAGCTCTCTGATGATGCTATCATGGTCTCGAACTCTTTCTTTACCAATAAAGGTCTTTTCTTGATGCGTAGGTCCTTGACCTTGTTCTATATACCATTCCGGGTATGACTTCCCTGGCATTCTCTAGTTTACTCTCTCCCCAAAATCACTACTTTCAAACAAGCCATATCTTGCCTTGCACTTAACTCAATCTATAATATCCAACCCAACCAAAGCAGTCCAGTTTGCAAATCATAAATAATAATCAATCATAATTCACAACAGCAATCAACAACCAATATAAACATTCAACCACATTTCACAACATATACCAGTCAATGCAGTGCAACTATACAAAGCCAGAACCTTTGCTCTGACATCAAAAAGTACCACACTTCCTTATTTACCTCATTATATATCAATTAGAACCATTTAAAGTTATTTTCCAAACCTTAATAATGAAAACTTTTAACTTTAAAATTTTCATTTTCGGATTTCTGTACACTATTCACAGAATTTTGGGCTAACTTTGGAAATTCATAACTAAATGTGAAAAAATCAAGACTAAGTGGTTCCAATTTCTATTTGAAACTTGTTATGCCTTCTATAAGGAAAAAAATACTCATGGCCTCATATCCATCTGAAACAAAGCTAGAAATTTTGACAAATTGCATTGTTCATTTGGTCAATTTTTGAATTTTTAGTATTTTAGCCCAACTTTGGAAGGGCATATCTCCTAGCACAAAAATCCAAATTTAGTGTTCTACCACTTGTATTTTTAAAACTAAAAATGAGATCTGTAAGTCTGCTAAATTTCACATCCAAATTCATTCATTTGCTTATTATTTTATGTGGCACAAGATTGCCCCTATTTAAGGCATTTTTATCACCTAATTCAATATTTCTTGAATTTCTTTTCCTTTTTCTATGTGCCATCCCATTTGAGCATTCCATGATCCATATTTTCCAGCATCAAAGCACATTATATAAACATAGATACAAGGCAGTATAGTCCAAATTCCATTACAACATCATTATAAAATTATCAAAATATTACATAGGTTCATATATCACTACAAATTCCACAATGTTCTTTCATCCCAACACCAATTCCTTGCCCTTGTCCATGGATGAGCCACTTCCTATTTAATACATAATTTAACATAGGAGGGAATGAGATTTTATAGAAATCTTCGTAGCAATGAACTATAATTCTCATATTCATCAAGCAAGACATAATGTGTTATGCAATAGCACTTCAAGACATCCTTAAGTTAGGTGAGTTCATGCTATGCGTTCAATCAAGAGAGGAATCAAACACACTTTCATATTAACATGTCATCATACATTTGGCCAAAGCAATTAACTCAACCCATTAAACAAGCAAGATAAACACTCAAATTATAATTCAATGCTACCTTTCAATACTTGTATATTTTCAACCTCTTTGATGTAATTAGCCTCTCCTTGTTTTCTTCCCACAAAACCTATCAATTCACATATAATTGCAATCCACATTAACAATTATACAACTTAAATACAATACTTTAACCTTAACCTACTTAATTTTCCCCTTTTTCTTTGATTTTTTAACAAAACTGTTCCTCCTTTGAAATAAAAAATCTCTTGACTCATTGCTACAAAATCTTTCATGTAGAATTCAAATATCCAATCAGATTTATAAAAATCAAATTCCTTCCCTTTCAATCTGTCATGGCTGAATAGGGGTATATAGGTTTCCAAAAAATTTATTTTTTATTCCAATGATTTTAAGCACTTCCTTTTAGTATATCTCTACACAAAAACAAATTTTAAACCCATTACTATTCACTAGTAATATTTCATAATTTTTCTAGGCCTCCAAAAATTCATTTCTCTCTATGAAAAATTCCTTTCTAATAGAAGGATACGATCTGGAAATTTTTAAAATTTTTATCCGCTTCTAAGTATTTATTGTTGAATTTTCCCTGATTAGGCCTCTATCGGTAAAACTGTAGGAAATAAATTTCCAAAAATTAATTCCTGTGCTTCCAATGCCCAAAAATAATTTGATAAATTTTCATAATTATTTAGATAATTAACCCAAATTTTTATGGAATTATTGAGACCTCTAACTATTTAAAATAATTATTTTTCTCTGATTTTTCTCTATTTTCCTGAAAAACCTCTGTATTCGGGAAATTCCGTAATAATTTATTTTTCAATGATTTTTCACCTTTAGGACCTCCTGTTAGGATTATAGTTTTGATGATAACAAAGTTAGATTATTTGAGTTAAGTATGTTGATCGATCATCTGATCGATCAAACGTTTATCGCCAAGGTTACAGATAATTGTTCAAGTATAAATCAGTTTTATAGTAAGTGTTTTGATCGAAGAGCTATCCGATAAGTTGTTGATCGATAAAATGATCGATTATCGCTAACATAAAAATCACTTAAGGTTACAGTTAATTATCGATCACTTGATCGATAACATCAGATAAACAAACAGGTAACAGTTAAAGAGAACCAAATCTAAAGTGTATTTATCGATCACATGATCGATAAATCAGTTATCAATAACGACCTCGATAAGAGGTAACACACTCTATTCATTCTGCACATTTATTTTGTTATCATTTATCGATCATATGTTCGATTACTTGTTTATCGATCACAGGATCGATCATTATGCTCTAACTCTGAATGCAGGTAATCATCTTAACTGCTGGATCGATAACCTTGTCGATCAGAAAATTATCGATCACATGATCGATAATCAATGTCTTTATCTACTCATATTTGGTTTTTCTGCAATCACATTATCGATAACATTATCGATAATTTAACTTGTTTGCATATTATCTTTTCACATAACATGATCGATAAAGAGTCTAAGGATTGCTATATTCGCATTAACTTATGTTGAACCATTTTTCGATCACCTAATCGATCATTGACTTTTCAATAATATGATCGATCATTCGATTTCTTGAAACTTATGTTTTCACAAAACGTGATCGATAATCAGTTTCTTCACCTTACAGGATTAAATTTCTTTTCTCACTTTATCGATCACTTGTTCTAATATTCATTGATCGATCACCTGTTCGATCATTCCAGATAGTATGTGTCTTTCAATGAATATATTCTTACTCATGGTTTATCGATAACCTTATCCATCACCCATTTATCGATAAGTTGTTCGATCATCAATGACTAAAGTTTCATTTCAATAACATTTGAATTATCGATAATCTGTTCGATCAACAAGTGTTCGATCACTTGTTCGATCATGGAGCGATTTCCGTTTACTATGATAATTCTTAAAGTCAATGATCCAACACTTGATCGATAATTTTGTTGAACTAATTCGAGAAGCTTTCATTCAGTTTAT